TTAGAGCAGTACATGGAGAGGAAGGGGATCGGACGGTAAAGAAGGTTTCTGCAGATACATTAAGTGTTGGAGAGCGGAAATTCACCTTTGATTCGGTTCTTGATTCCAATTCAAATCAGGTTTTGAGACTAATTCTATTATATTTTCCATGGAAAGACTTGATTTGATTAGAAATACTTTAATCCTGAAATACATACATTACCAGTTAGTTGAATATTTCATTTTCTTTTTGGATACTTTTAGAATATTTTTTTTATCAGCACATTGTCTTCACTAATTAGCCAGAGCATGAATCAACTAGAAGCTTACATGAATTAATTATTGATTATAAGAAGCCAAGAAGAATAGTAGGAACAATTTTTCGATTTTCTATTTTCTTGACAGCCAAATTGGAATTAGGGGTTTTTTCTTATTCCGTTAAGCTGTTTGTTTGGTGCCTGCCAGGAGGATGTTTTTCATGTGGTTGGTGTTCCCTTGGTTAAAGAGGCATTAGCTGGTTTCAACACTACAATATTGTCATATGGACAGGTAGTTTGGTAGATTATATCCTAATTTTTACACCCTTTCTCGTTTTTTGGATATTCTTATGAATTTTTTCATATTTTTCAATAGTCCGGAAGTGGAAAGACCTACACATTGTGGGGGCCACCAAGTGCCATGGTTGAGGATCCATCACCTAGAAGCCACCAAGGAATCGTTCCTCGTATCTTCCACATGTTATTCTCTGAGATTGAGAGAGTAAGTTCCCATTTTTTCCTAGTCAAGTTCATTGGGAAATTGAAATGTGGCTTACTGGTTTCATCACCATTTGTTTGCAATTATATGATGCTACAGGAGAAAGAGAACCCTGATCGGAAACATAAAAATTATCAATGTCGCTGTTCTTTTCTTGAGGTATGTGTTTCTCTTGGTAGGTTGCAACTTGTGAGTTCCGTTTCTGGTTTACTTAACTTACTAATGTGTTTGAATGTCTTTGCCATAATCTATTGTACAGATTTACAATGAGCAAATTGGAGATTTACTTGATCCAACTCAAAGGAACCTTGAGGTCAACCTTTTGTGCCGTGCTTTATCTTCTGTTCTATCAATTGCTTCGCAAGATCTCCTTAAATTGTATGCATGGCATTAAAATGAGCTTGTGCACATTGTTTCAGATAAAGGATGATCCAAAAAGTGGATTGTACGTTGAGAATCTGAGTGAGGAATATGTGACTAGCTATGAGGATGTAACTCAAATTTTGATCAAGGTAACCAGAGAACCATTTCTTTCAGCATTGTCTGTACTTATAGTTTGCAAATTATGCTTAGAATGCATATGCATGTTTATCATGCAATGAAGATCCATAACTATATAATTTCCATTACACGAGTTTATCATAGTTTTTCCTCTATCTTTCATGGTAATAAGTTCAGTATATTCCGTGCAGGGGCTCTCAAGCAGAAAAGTTGGAGCAACGAGTGTAAATTCTAAGAGCTCTCGGTCTCACATTGTATTTACTTTCATAATTGAATCATGGTCCAAGGTACCCCTTTATTTTATTTCTTATGGCAGGTTTTCCATTGTTCTATTTCTTATGGCAGGTTTTCCATAGTTCTATGTCTTATTGCAGTTTTTTATTAACTTACGCAACAGGGAGAATCATCAAAATGTTTCAGCAGTTCTAAGACAAGCAGAATTACACTAGTTGATCTTGCTGGACTAGACAGAGATAAACTTGAAGATGCAGGTAGACAACATGTCCAAGAAGATAAAAATGTTAAGAAGTCCCTATCACAGCTTGGGTATGTACTGTTTTTCTTTCTTTGGTGTTATGTGTTATGCTCTTACCTTTACCTAACTTATGTAGGGCAAAAGTGTCTGTTATTATCACATTTGCTACTATTAGCAAGAATCTCTTATAAAGGTTAAGCCTTATTTAAAATTTATGCTTTGTTGCCTTTGTTTAGGCATGTAGTAAACAACCTTGCGAAAAGCAGTCAGCCTGAAAATTCTGGAGGCACTCCATATGGCAGTTCGTGTTTAACCAGTTTACTGCGAGAATCACTTGGTGGCAATTCCAAACTCACTGTTATCTGCAACATTTCTCTGAATAGGTACTCCATATCAGCTTTCTCTGTTTACATTAAGAAAATGGATACATGTAAGACAGGTGTAAGTATGGTTAGGGTAAATATTTGAGAAACAAACTTTATTGTCAATGGTATCTCAAACACTGTTCATGTTGACTGCAGACACAATGGGGAGATACTGAGCACTCTGAGATTTGGACAGCGAATTAAATCTGTAAGAAATGACCCAATGATTAATGAGATATCAGAAGATGATGTTAATGACTTAAGTGATCAGATTCGTCAATTAAAGGTAATATAGCTCATTTTTGGGGAAATGTCCAATTTCATTTGGCAAACTAGTCACGACCTGGTGAGGATTGTTAAATGCATGTCATTTTGGTTGCAGGAAGAACTTATAAGAGCAAAGTCTGATGTTTATGGCTCAGTTGGGAGTAAAAATGGACACTTTAAAGGGCGAAATGTCCGTGACAGCTTAAATCAGTTGCGAGTAAGTCTTAATCGCTCATTGATCCTGCCAAATATAGATAATGACCTTGAGGAAGAGGTTAATGTTGGTGAGGATGACATCAAGGAACTACATCAACAGCTACAGAATTTGCATAGTTCTTGTGACGAGAACTTGAGAGACCCATCTGACAAAAGAGGTTCCATTCAGTCTTCTTCCGTTGAAGAAAGTTGTGAGGCAGCAGATTTGCTAAGTGCAGATGACTTTGATAGTGCTGAGGAAATGGAGATTGAAGAATTCAATGAAAGTGTTACACCAACAGGTGAACCTCCATTTATTACAAGCACCTCAAGGGCTTTGGACATCAGAAACAGCATAACTATCAGCTCATGCATTCACTCTCCCATACTTGAAGAACCGACTTTGTCAGAGTCTCCAAAAATCAAAGATACATTAAGGAAAAGCATTGTCGCCACATCAACTTTGCTGTCAAGTCAGAACAACATATTAGAGAATTCAAAGTCACTGAAACGTAGTGAGAACTTAAGATCATCTTTGCAGTCAAGCAAAGTTTTTCCAAATCCAACTGAATCTTTGGCTGCTAGCCTTCAAAGAGGCTTGCAGATTATTGACCACCATCAGAGGAATTCAGGATCAGATAAACCTTCACTTTCCTTCTCCTTTGAGCACTTGACACTGAAACCTTGTCCTGAATCTGACAAGGTCAATGCTTCTGTTCAAACATCAAATTGTCCAGCTGATGCTCTACTTTGTTCATCATGCCGGCAGAAGATTGACAATAATACTGATGAGATTGAGGATAGCTTGAAGACACAAATGGTGGCAGTTGATGAAGCGAAAGTATGCTGACTTATTTGCTTATACAGTTCTCTAATTCTCCTTTATGTTCTCCTTGCTTAAGGAATTCATTTTTTCTGTTGTTTGTATCAGGATATGGTGAATGATTTAACAAAAGCTGCTGAAAGAGAGAAAGAGCTTGAAAGTATTTGTATGGAACAAGCAGCCAAAATAGAGCATCTGAGTTCTCTGGTGGAGCAATACAAAAATGCTCCCAAGAATGAAATAGTGCCATTTGAGGAGCACAAAGATCTCAAGGTTACTTTTTTCCCTTTCGAAGTTGGCATGTTCTTTTATTTTGAATTTACAGCAAGTTATTTATTTATTTATTTATTTTAATTTTGTAGTTGTTGATTCTCAAGCCGTTCATTTTTCAGGATATGAATGAGAATATGCACTTTGATGTGAATGAGAAGGAAGCACTTCTTAAGGAAATTCAAACATTAAGGAGCAAATTACAGCCAAACACTGCTGCAACCCCCAACAAATCTACTGAATCACTGAGATCCTCTCTGTTGTTACGTTC